AAACGTCAAACCAAGAAACCCACTAACTCTTTCAGCTCTACTTAGGACGCGGTGAACGGCCGTGTTTTATCTCGGGAGGTGATGAGTCTGTAGCTGTGAGGGTGTTTCCATCTTGGACGCTTACAGTTCCATATGAGGGAATAAGGACTGGTTTTGCTCTGGGGTAGAAGGAAAGCACTTGGCTCTAAATCCTGCAGTTCTCTCCTAACGCATCTGCCTTATGTCAGCTCGAGAAAGGGACCGTTTCATCAGGAGCCCTCTAAAACCTACGTGCCCAGGAAATCTCCTAAGGCTGGATGCTGCTCTGTTTTTTTTCCACATCCCTTCCATCCCAGGTAGGATGGATTTCTGTCAACAGCAGGATGTAGGACAAGAGTTCCTCAGGGTAGGGAGCTCATGAAATGCAGCACTCGAGGTCTGGCAGGTCTGGAGGTAGCACCAGTGTCTCCTCACTTATCCTTGAAGCCAAAGGGTTGGACAGACCCTGCGCTCACTCACCACGTGCTGGTCTTCCCAAGGGAAACAAAGACCTTGTCCCTCGCATGAACTCGCCTCTCTCCTGACACGTGCCTTATAGATGTGTTCTCCAGACCACGAGCCAAGCACTACTTCCCTCTGTCCAACATGGAAATTCTACTTCTTGGGCTGTTTTAGACATAAAGAGCCCTCCCCGAGCTGTGGTTTGGATTAGCAGGGAGTTATGATTTGTTGATTGGTGACAGCTGAGCCAGTAAACATAGGAGTGTTTTAAGCCTGGTTATCTTGAGCGCAGTGTCTCTCCCCCTCTTTGGGGAGGCTACACATAAACACAAAATCTTACTTCACTTCTTAGCTATTCTTTGTGCTGATGGCACCAAGAGCTCCGTGTAAACATCAGGGCATCTGGAAGAACTTGGCTCTCGTGGTAGTGCTGTTGGCTGAAACTACTTAGGAACTTGAGCCCAGGTTCAGTTGGTGCTAAGGTGAGTTGTGGAGCTCCGGGTGGATCCATATTAATGTAATTGCAGGGCCAAGTGGCAGGTGGTCTCCTCCCCTGTGGAGGTGGTACCTCATGTTGTGGTAGGACCAAGCTGGTCTGTGAGATGCTGCAGGCACAGGTTGGGCTGAGGTGGGAGGGGAGAGACCTAAATATGAGATATATGGAAGCTCTGGACTGTTGTCTGTGGATCTGAAGTGTCTGAAAACTAAACTTGTGCTTAAATTTAGCTCTTTAGTGTTACACCTTTAATTGTGAGCAAGCGGGTACCCAAGCAGGTTGAAACCAGCAGTGATGACCACCTGTACAGCAGAAGAGTGTGAACATGGAAGCACCCACTGAATGTTGTAGAAAGCAAGTATGGAGTTAGAAGGAGGTTTTCTTGGTGGCCCCAAAGCCTCTCTCAAGATCAAAAAATGCAAGTTGTGCTTTGTATTAAAAGGAAGTAAATTAAATTTGGGAAGGAGAGGGGAGTGTAGTCCTAAGCTGGATGTCAGGTTGATGTCCTTGCTTCTCCAGGGAAGCATCGAGCTTGGTTTCTCTTAGATTCCTGAAAGACACTGAGAATCTGAGGCTGAAATACTCATTGCATTGCACCTCGTCTCTCGGACCGTAGTGTTGAGAGAGAAATGTATAAACTTGCTTTGTTCTTTCAAAGAAAGAGTGGACTTCCATGAATTTTTGGAGCCTGAGACCATAGTACAAACAGACGTCGGAGCCAAACCTTCTTGCCCTTGTTTTGCTCCTCAGCCTGCAGAAAACCTATGTACCTGCTTGTGCTGCTCTGGGACTCTGTGTCTGAGTAAATCCCACCCAGTGCTGCTCCAACCGGCTTCTCCAGGCTCGATGCTGGGCTGAACCCCACGGGGCTGGGGACCAGCACCGAGTGTCACCAGCCTGATGCCACCCCAGGCGGTTCAGGTCACACCATGACTTTGTGCAGAGCTCCAGGAGCTGGGGCTGGACTTCCAGGCCTGGAGCCAAGCGAGCGGTGCAGATTTCCTGCAGCCCTATCACCCGTGATAGGGTAATAAATAACTGAGAAACGTTCGTATTTTGCCACCACGTTGGCTTTAATGGCTGTTAATTGCACTCTAGGGCTGTTTTTCCTTTTTCACCTGGATTTCCCCTGTTTTCTTCTCCCAGCCGGCCCGGAGAAGTGGTGGAGGGGGGTGTCCACAGCAGGGGTGCCGGGGGGTGGGATGGTGACACTGTGGGGCTGTGTCTCTCAAGCTGTTCCTGCTGCCCATGGTGGGGATGCTGTCCCCCCCACCCTGGGGACCCACACCTGAGGGGTGCAGGGGTGCCCTTCACCCCACGAGCGATGGGTGGTATAAAAACAGCCCTAATTTAATTTGGGCAAAGTGTAGAGAGACTCTCTCTACAAGAGCCTTTTTTTTTTTTCTTTTAAACAATTTTTTTTCTTTTTTCCCTTGGCAGACAGTGTCCCCTCGGAGCATGGGGAGTGTTCAGCCATGTGACAGTGACATCCTCCCCTGTTTGTCCTGCACGAAGGGCTCTCAAGGCCAAGAGCCTTTGTAAGGGGGTGTAAGGAGCGGTCCCGTGCCTGGCGGGTGCTAATGGCAGCTTCTCTTCCTTTGCAGAACGGGCAGGCTGCTCCAGAAGAAGGTGGGAATCCTCCATCCAAGGTAAAAAACTCCTCTGGGGTTACATCTTTAAGTCACCCCTCTGAGCTGCAGCAGGGGGGTGGGAGCCCACTTGGGGAATGGGTTGGGGATGGCTATTTTTAAATCCTGTAAAGCTGCTGCTTTTGTAATCTGGATGAGGGCACGTGGGGGTGTGAGGGGCTGGAGCAGGGGAAGAGAAAAGATTAAACCCTCTTTCTTCCTGTCTCTTTTGGTCATCCAGAGATATCTGGGAAGTTTCCTGAAGGGCCACCTCAGCCCCCCCAGGTGGGAGATGGGCTGGAGGCCGTCGCAGAGGGCTAGGAGTGAGAATCCCTGGGGTGTCTCAGCGCTGTGTTTACACCTTTCTCTGTGTTGTGATCTTGCCAGACGGGATGAGAAAATGCAAGAGTATTTGATGGTTTTGGCACAGCTGCCCTTGCCGAGTGCCTGGTATCTGTGTATTCTCTCGCCTCGGTGGGGCTGGGAGAAGCTCCATTTCTGTCAGGTTGCCCTCTGCATCCCCAGTAACATTGGCAGGGAATGGTAAAAGGAACTGAGCTGCTGTTTTCCATGTTTTGGGCAAGGGTCTTAGTCTGCTAGAGCTTCTTCAGACACCTAAAGCTCTTACCTGCTCCACGCGTGATGCTGAAGGACTTGATCTCTCTGATGTGAGTCCTCTCTGACTACAAGACTGAGGGTGGATGTTGTTAACGTGGGTATTTCCTGATTGTGCCCCCACTTCTCTGTCCTGCGAGACGCTACGTGAGGTACAAGAGCCATATCAGCACCTTGAAATCATAAGCCTTTCAGGATTTCCTTTTCTGATACGTACGTGCTATAACCATGAAGAATGACACAACGTGTTTGATTTGGCTTGGGAGACCTTGCTGAACGGGTTGTCAAGAGCTTGTCCTGCACCTTACCCTCAGTGAGTGCCCCGTAGCAGTTTCTCTCTCTGAATTATCATCTGGGCTAAAGGCCACGGGGGGGTTTATTGTATCGTTTTTCCAGTTGGTTAGTGTCGCATTTTGAGTAAAAGAAATCTAAATCTAAAAACCAATTGCCTGCTTTTCAGGTAGTTCTTTGCCAGGAACTTATCCTGGCTACTTCTAGCGTTGCTGTTGCATCTCACCTAACGTGTTCTGCATTTCTGTCCCAGTTGCTGGGCTGGCACTTTTCCAGTGGCCTGCACAGAAATCTGGCATGGGTCAGATGAACTCAGGTCAATGAGACTGTGCCATTTCCCTCCCCCGAGAATAGTGGTTTTACGGTTCTTTACTGTGCCTGCATCTCTGGCACAGGAAAAAAAAATAATAATCTGTCTCTTCTGGTTGGATTCCAGCTGGGCTTCTAAGAGCTGAGACTTTGCCTCTTTCATCTTCAAACACTTGGCTAAACCGCCCTCCCGCAAAAGCAGCTGAAGGATGTTGCTTTAAAAATAATGGAAGAGTTTTATTTTTTTTTTTCCTCTTTGAAGGACATCTCTGGGACAAACCCTGGGTGATTTAGATCTTTAGGTCTTTAGATGCAGCCTCAGAGGAGTATCAGGCAATGGAGGTCAAAAAGCACTTGGGGTCTCTTTGCTGCTCTGTGTCTGTCCCTCGGGGGGACAGGGAGGTGCTGTCCCCGTTGCAGCTGGGGAGCTGGAGCAGAGCAGCAGGAGAGTTGTCCAACCTCCCACAAGCAGGGAAAGCACAAGAGCCCTGTGTTGGGTGCAGGTGTCCTGCTTTGCACTTTTCCGAGGCACCGTGGCCAAAACGCCTGTGAGTGGTGTCAGACAATCCCATTTTCGGTAACTTTTTGAACACGTGAAGCGCTGCTACGTGCTCCTGAAATAACTTTGGTGGCGTTTTCCAAGTTTGTACAAGGTACGTTTGCTACCAGCGCAGACAAATGAACTCCCTCCTATAAACACATACCTTCAACTTCAGGGCAAACTCTGCCCCTCAGCACCAGCTGTGGGGAGCAGGCAGGACACTGAATATCCGTGTATTTTTCTGTTCATTTTTGGGGTGTAGACACCAGCAGGAGCTTCTAGCTCTGGCTCTACCTACAGTGAGGACTAAGGAAGAAGAAATAAGTGGCTGTAACCATCTGAGCTTGGCTGTTCTCAAGTTGAAGGTTGCTCAGGATCCCTCCCGTGCCCTTCTCTTCTAGCTGTGCGTGGAGAGCTGTAAGGGGAAGAGGCACCTTTATTCTGGGTTTGTGCTTGCTATCCTTTTGCGGCTAATTCTGTGATCTCTTCTAAAAATAGCCCGAAGCTGTGACAGCGGCGATTACTCAACGCCCACACCGAAGGGATGTCCCTCCCCCTGTCCCAGTAAGTGGGATGCTGCCAGGAGCACAATCCTTATTTCCCTGGGCAATAACCAAAGACGCTTTGCAAAGGAGGAAATCCAAGACTTCCTCAAAAGAGTTGGGACCTTCGCGGCTGGTAGCGCCAGAGCGGTGCTGTCTCTTGCCTCCTCATCTCACCTTGCATCATCTCACCTGCTGTTGTTGCACATTAAGGTCTTTGGGCATAAAACATGATGAAATGGTCACTGCAGAGGTAGCGAGAGGGTGTTTTGGGCCAGACTGGCTGAGATCTGATATTTTGGAGCTGCGTTTGTAGCTCCGGTTCAGCTTCCCACCAAAGCTGGTGCATTTCACAACTTCTTGTGGCTTTTTACCCCTGTGTGGATTCCCACCTTTCAAGAACAATTGTGGTGCACAAGTCCCTGCAAGCACCCTACCTCGGTGTGTTTATCTGAGTATCTTGGAAATGCCTGCAAGATCCTACAGGTTGGGCAGGGAGTCTGGAGCATCTGCCTCCCTTCGCGTGGTCGCAGGGAAAGGAGCCTGGCTCTGCCATCAGGGCCATCCCAACAGCATTCCAGCTCCGTGGCCGTAAGGAATTCCAAGTCAAACCCTCTCCTGACAGAGCACAATCCCAGATTGCTCGTGCCTGAATCCCTGCTGATCTCTGTGCTCCTGGTGTGTCCCTACTGTAAGAGTTTGCAATCTGCCAGGCAATCGTGGCAATCCTGAAACCAAATTGTTAATCCAACGTTACACTGAGCAGGAGCCTTTGGCCAAGAGAGGTACAAGGAGGGCTTTTTTGTTTTCCTCTCATCTCTGGTGGTGGTGTTTGGCCCTGTTTAAATCTGGTGTTGGCTTTAGGATAGCAGTGGTGTGGTTTGTGGAAGGTTTCAGTGCAACATCTGGGGGCTCCTGGATAGAGGAGCTGCTCTTTCACATTCATCGTGGTGGTAGAGGAGCAGGAGTGATGCTGGTGGAGCAGGACTGCTATCCCCATATCCTCTGCTTTTCAGGGCTCAGGGCTTGCTTTCTTCCTGCCCTGTTTCCTTCAACACAGCCTGGGCTGACACTGAGAGAAGCATCTCCTGTGACAGCCCTGGGTTAACCTCGGCTGCATCTCCGTGCAGGTCAGGAGCAAAACAGGAGGTCTCTTGCCTTGCTCTCAAAAGCTGCTCTGCCCCAGGGGCTAATCAGCAGCGCTGTGCATTGGTCCCTGGGTACCAAACCTCCTCCTCTCCTACGTTCTTTAGATGTTAATTGTCAGGTGGGGTGAAGATTGGTCCTTGTTCAGCTGGGGAACGGCAACGGAGGGCTTGAATTCAGTGGGAAAATGGAACCTCTCCTAATTGGGGTTTTAGAACCTGCTCTGCAGCCAGCTTGGCTGAGGGGTGAGCTTGTGCTCCCTGAAGGTGCCAAGCGTGAGGAAATTATGCATGAAAGTACAACAACCAATTAGCGAAATCACTTCATAATGAAGAGCAGAGGAGTGGATTTGCTGTGCTGCGTGTGCCCACTCTCTCTCTGGAGGTAACGCGGGCTGGGAGTGCTGATCAGCTTGTTCTTGGGTGATAATCACAGCACGCAATGAAAACTGGGGAAGTGAATAAGTAACCTCTTCCAGCTCTGCTTTGCACCATAAAAGAGACCTTTGAGACCGGAGCGAGGGCTTTGCTCTGCTGCACACACCGGGTACAAGGTGCCCCACCTGCCCAGGCTGAGCCTTGCTCTTGGGCAGCAAAAACCGTGGTAGAAATGCAGTAAAGAGGAAGACATGGTTCTTTCCCAGATCTGTGTAGCTCCTGCTGATTTATCCTCCTGTCCTGGCCAAGTAAAGCTTGCAGAAAGGTCCTCTCCTGCAGCATCTTCAGCAGGATCTAGATAATGGACACTTCTGGCCAGTAAAATAAATACCTGCATCGCCAGCGTTAGCATTAGTTGGTGTTATTCTAGGTGAAACACCCTCTTGTAATGCTCTAGTGATGACAAAGCACAGTGACAGTCGCAGCTCTGAGGTGTAATTCCTTGGGATGAGTTGGAGGAAGCAGGGTTGTAGCCATCGAGCTGTGATAGCTCTGTGCCACTCCTCTGCGCGGGTCAGTAGCAGCCGCCTGCTCTTGGAATTATTTCTAATATTCATAACATTTCTTATGGCTGGTTCTTCATTTTGGTGCTCTCTTGCTGCCTCTGCTTGAGCCCAGCTTTTCACTCCCACCTGCAAACTGGATGTGGCTGGAGCAGCTTTCCTGCAGGCTGGACTTCGCTGCTGGTGAGGAATCCCTTTCTGACCTCTAGTCATGAACTGGGAATTCTCCATGCTCCTCCGGTGGGATGAAGGCTTTGTGCTGCTCCATCGTGGTACACTGCATCAGTGCTTGCTCAAAGCTCTGCTTTCCAGCTGTACATCTCCCCCCTTCACCCAGACCTTGTGCTGTGCCTCTCGCTGTGGCCTTCCCTCGCTGGCAGAACATCCATTGACTCTTGTCCTGTCTTCTCTGGAGCTCCATCACCGAGTGGGTGGTCAGAGAGGAAACTTGAAGCACCTTCTCTTCACCGTGGGGGAGGAAGGAAGAGTTATCCAAGACACCTGTTGGCCACCAAAGGGCAGATCCTATGTGCCCACCTGATGTCCAGGAGATGGAGGACACTCATTGTGTAGCCTGCCTGCTGCCAGCATCGCTCCGGGCTGGGTGCAGACCGTGTTGACAGAAGACAACGTCCAG